TTCACTGAAATTTTCACTGAAAGTGAAAAATTCGCAATTTTTGAAAAAGTATCAGGGTAACATGACCATCGAAGAGCTATTCACTGGAATTTTCACTGAAAGTGAAAAATTCGAAATTTTTGAAAAAGTATCAGGGTAACATGACCATCGAAGAGCTATTCAGTTTTTAAACAAAATTTCGATTTATTAGCCATTTACAAGAGAAAAAATTGGAATTATTTAAAAAAAAAAATTGAATGATGGCCGGATCGAACCCAAGCTATCCGCGTGCTAGTCAAGCACGTTGACAATTAGACAACGCGACCATTACAATAATACAGTTTCATTAGGAGTATATATTTTCAAAAAGTATCTTTTTCAAAAATTTCGAATTTTTCAATTTCACTGGATATCTTTTCGATTTTCAAGTATTCAGTTTTTAAACGATATTTTAATTGATTAGCCCTTTACAAAAATAAAAAATTTAAATTATTAAAAAAAAAAAAAAAAAGAATGATGCGGGATCGAACCCTAGCTGTCTGTGCGCGAGCCAAGGACGTTGCCCATTAAACAACACGCTCATTATAATAATATATTTTCATTAGTAGTATATCTTCAATACATTGAATAATTTTTTCCATTTGAAATTTCACAAGATGTGGCTTCCCCTTTCCGCTCCTTCTACAGTCAGCTAAATCTCAGTTAAACAATTAAAAAACAAAAAGCATTCATACCGCAGAAAATAAAATTCATCCCGTCGACTTGATGGACACCCCAGCATTGCGTGTGGCGCCCTCCCTCTCTTGGGGTCTCTTTGGGTTTTCACATGTGTTCTGACAGTCCCACATAACCTCCACCCAGGGAGAGTTTTAATAATCATCAATTATTTATTTCTCTAAAACACTCGTCATTATTTCACCGCTTTTCAATAAACAAACAGGTAAAAATCACCAAATTTCCTTAATCTTCAGAAAAATGATAACAATTACTATTGTCATACCTAATTAATTCATAATGATTCATTGTTCTTGATTATTATCTACCCCTTACATTCCAAGTTATTAGGAGAAATTGTAATAATGGCTAACCCCTGCAGGCGAAAAAAATGTCATCCTGGAAAAAGGCATCGAAATCCGTGCAGAAGACGCATCGGGAGCGTCACCAGCCCGAGTCCCGCCAGCACTTGGGTCTCCTGGAGAAAAAAAAGGACTACAAATTGCGTGCGACTGATTATCAAACGAAGAAGTCGACCCTGAAACTCCTGCGGAAGCGTGCACTCAACAAAAATCCAGACGAGTTTGATTTTCACATGATAAATTCAAAAATCAAGAATGGAATTCACAGAGAGAAGGGTAAACCGAAGGAACACACACCAGAGCAGATAAAGCTGATGGAGACCCAGGACCTGAAGTACATCGGTTACAAGCGTCACCTGGAGAGCGTGAAAATAAATAAACTGCAGAGTCAGCTGCACATGCTGGATGCTGTCAACGAGACCAGCAACAAGCACATCTTCTTCGTGGATGACGGAGAGGAGGCGAAGGGGTTTGATCTCGCCCAGAGGCTCGACACCCACCCTGATCTCCTACATCGAAAGATCAACAGACCTAGACTCTCGAAACTGCAGGAGATGACTCTGCCTCACATCGATGACTCGACTCTCGCTAAAATCGAGCAGCAGAAGCACATGGCGTACGTCGAGCTCAGAAAAAGGGTCGATAGAGAACGAGAACTCACTGTTGTTCAGCAGAAGCTCGAGGTTCGCAGGGCTCTCAAGAATAAACTCGTGGAGAAACCCAAAATCGTGAAGCAAGGCTCCAAGGAAGCTGCACCAATCTACAAGTGGAAGTTTCAACGCTGTCGATGACGATTTTATGCTGATACAGAATATTTCGTAATGGGGTCTGAGATCGCAAGGCAGAATTAACACTAGAAATTTTTTTGGAGTTATAAAATGTGAGAAAAAGGTTTCAGGTTTTTATATTGTAATCAATACAGATTTTTGTACTGATTTGTTTATTTAAGGATAAAATGCGAATATTTAGGGCTGGTTTAACTTGAAGTTTTAATTGATTGAGGGTTCCTCAATTTTTGCATTATTCTCTTTTTGCCTTTGTACAACAGTTCAAGGCCATTGAATTCCCCTGATTCCTCAGTGGAGCTATCGATTTTGAATTGTACAGTTTCTGTGATTTTTCATATAATTTTCATATAAAATTACCAAATTAAACTTAATTTTCAATTGTTAAAAAATCTAGTAATTGACTTACCTCAATTGCCACATTTTTATTCATTCTCATGGAATACTCCACCCAAAATTTCTATTTACCTTCTAAAATTTTGTCTTTCTTTCCTCCCTCGTTTTCACAATCGACTTCAATTTTACTCCAGTGCTTGATGTAGAATTGTGTTTGAAATCAGCAGCATAAGCTGGTGGAAGACGACTGGGGAAGTGTTTGGATCGATCACTAGCTCCATAGGGTTGAACTCGGTATTGTAGAGCGGTGAGAGCTGCAAGGGCCTCTGCAGATCCACCTAGAGAATCTGTGGAGCTTCCAGGTGGTCCTCCAGGTGGTCCTCCAGGTGGTCTTCCAGGTGATCCCCCGGATGGTGCTCCAAGTGGTCCTCCAAGTGATCCTCCAGGAGATCCCCCAGGTGGTCCTCCCGTAGAAATTACTGCTCCATTCATCGTATCATCCCCATTTTCTTCATTCTCTGCATCCTCTCCAGGAGGACTTCCACCAGTGGAATTTCCTGGTTCCGAAGAACTGGTGCTTGAAGCCACAATCATTCCACTCATTGAACCCGCAGTCGTGTTAGCGCCATCAGCTGGAGGTTCACCAGGAGTTGGAAGCTCTGTAGAAATACTCACACACGTGTAATTAATTCTCCACTCCTGATTCTTCGTCGTTATTTGAAATCGCGGGCAGACAGTCAGCGATCGTGGGAATTCGTTCAGTTCTACGAGACTCAGGCATACTCTTGAGAATAAACTCCCCGGGACTTGATTGCAGATTGTTATCGGTCTGTAGTCTAGAAAAATAATTTTACATCGGATAACAGGGAATCAAAATTTATAAAATAAGTCATACCCACTTGTTATTGTAATTGATCTCACGGGATTTGAATCCAGGGAGATGTCGACATTCAGACCGTTCCGTTGGTACATCAAATTTGCACAGACTAAAGGCAAAAAGACAATGGAAGTCATGAAAAGGCGAATTGGAATGACTAATTCAATAGCGACATGATAAAATGAGACGACAAATACTGGGTCTTTAAATATCTCGAGAACTATTGATTTTAAGAGAAAATATAAAAAGACATTTTTCTGAGAAAATTTAATAAACTGTAAAAAAGTCCTTTGACGTTTTCTTCAGAAACTCATAGATTTCGAGATAAAACTGCGATTTCAAAACTTTAGTTTCAAAATATTTAAATTTTATAGTTGTGCTAAATATGGATTGATCTCAAAAACTATTGATTTTTCGAGAAAATATGATAAAACCTTTTTCATTGGAAATTTCATCAGCCCCAAAAAAGTCCTCTCACGTTTCTATGATAAATCAATTATTTACGAGTTAAACCGATAATTGTAAAAAAAAGATGGATTCAATTAATCTCGTTTTATAATATCGCTGGTAAATTAAAGATGAGAGGACTTACGCCTTCTCTGTGTTTTAATGAGCAAAAGTACGACATCCTCACAACAACTGCAAGACTGCTCGGTAGGACAAATGCAAGCTCTTTCGCTGATGGCATTGGATCTATAGAAGAGAAATCTTTTTCGTCTCCTCTCGTCATCCCCTAGGGCAACCCAGAGATTAATTAACAATAAAATTACTAATTTCTTCGATGTGAGACACATTTCCCCGAGAATTGACGCAGACAACTCCGTCGACGGTCACTGACTGACTCAATATTTATTTTCACATGGTTGACCATGTGAATTACAGGAAATATAGATAATAAAACGTAATAAAAGGCTATTATTTCAGTCGCATTGTCTAGAGGGTATTTTACAACAATTGGGTTCCAGTGAAAGTTTTTCAGTTCGTCGAACCCCAGAGGGAATGCATTTAATGGTATTTACATGATTTGATAATGGGATGAAGTACTTGAGAATTAAATAAATAATTGTTCATTATTTAGTAGTCGTCATCGTCGTCGTCGTCGTCGTCGTCGTCGTCATCGTCGTCGTCGTCGTTGTCGCCGACTTCCCCGTCGTATTCGTTGTATTCTTCACTGTCTGGATCATTTTCATCGTCAGGATCGTCTGGAAGGAACTCCACCTGGCCGATGCCTCCCCCATCCTCAGGTCTCACTAGAGCAACTCCACTAGCTCCTAGACGAATGCAATCCAGACCCATCTGCAAATTTAAAACCAATTCCTAATTAATACTATTAATAATTAATAAACCGTGATTTGTGGTATTACTCGACGTTTGACAAATTAAATTTCTTGTTGTTATTAATTTTGTAATAATAAATGTTTACAGATTAGTTAAATTAATTTATCAGTAAGGCTAATAAACAATTCTAATGATCAATCCGATAATCAATCAAATCAATTATCAGTTTTGATAGATCAATAACATTTTTAATCAGTTGAATAATTATAATTAATGTATAATTATTTGGATTGTCGGAATAAATACCTTGAAAAGTGTTGTATCACTGAATTTTCCTTCCATGCTGACGCACGCGTGAACATTTCTCCCTTGGAAATAAATATTATAAAATCTGACGCACGCCCTGACCGCGGGTATCCTGGGAACTGGAACGCATACGGGTCGTGGATTTTTTCCAGAAACAGAACGCGTGTAGAGGACACGATCATTCATCGAGACAGTCGCCGTGAAACTGAATTCGTCAGGATCATAAGTGACCTTGACGCAGGCCTTCTGCTTCCACGTGTTGAGAAGAATTCTGGAGCAACAGGTGCAAACACCTCCGCCACATGTGCAGGGACCTTGAGGCTGAACTGGAACCTGAGTGGAAATCGTGGAGTTCCCGGTGGGATCTGCCTTCTCCAGGAGTTCTTGGAGTTTCAGCAACTTCGAGAGGTCCTCAGGTACTTTTACCTGAGTCTCATTGATGGATTTCTCCAGCCTCCCGGGGGTAATTAGAGAGTAAATTATCAGTGAACTTAGGACTCGTCTCCACATTGTTGTAGGAATTAATTGGAACTTTAACTGTCGGGCTCCGGTGGTTCTTTCGCGATCAGTCTTTCTCCGGAGACAACTCCACGCCGACTGATTCGGAGCAACTGCCCACTTGACCTACATCCACAGGTGAAACTCAACTTCAATTTCAGTTGGAACTATTTTCTCATCTTCAAACAACTTTCCAACGTTGATTATAATTATCTTATTGAATTAACGGTTTATTACTTTTTCTGCGAATATATTGTCGCCACATTTCTGAATGCAGAGTTTAGGAATAAAGTTCTGCTGTTTGTGGTTGAAAAGGTGCGTTCCAGTTCGGCTGGAACTCCAGGGAATTTCGCAGTTGAAAGTTCAATGTTTTATTAAAATAATTATGAAAATAGATGTTCATTTCTTTAATTAAATCCAGGACATGGTGATTGTAATTAATAACAACTTTATAAATATATTATTACTTCAGAAAGTCTAAGTTCCACAGGAATTCCAAGGAACTTTGCCTTTTTAAATTCAATATTTTATGACAAAAATCATGAAAATAAATGTTGATTGACTTTTTTGAAGGTAGATCACAACAATTATAAATAAATAACAATATAAATATAATATTATCACTTTCATGAATATCAAGTTCGAGTGGAACTCCAAGGAATTGCAAGTTGTTGCGTGGCGAACGAATATTTTGGGAATAAAAAGAATCAGAGCTTGAGAGTTCCTATTTTGTCCTCTTCCGGGGTCAAGGCGGAAGTGGTATTACTGATGTCGATGTCCTCTGGGTTGAAGGCGACTTCGTCATAGATTTCAACGTCGGCGATCGTCGGCAGGGCGAAACTCGTGGCGTTCGGTCTCACCCAGGAAATTCCGGTGCCTCCGACGCGGACGCAATCGAAATGGAGAATAAATATCGGCCACTGAGCAACTTTTGTTTCAAAATCTAGGCAAGTGCTGAGGGTAGATTCCACAAGACGGATGTCGAAGAATCTGACGCAGAAGGAGACGATTGGTACAGCGTAGAGAGGAACGCACACTGGGGGTGGGTTCCGCGCTGAAGAGTAACGAAAATCACAGTACAAAATCATGACGAACATAAAAATGGCCGAATCTATTGGAGATACAGAATTTTCGTTAAGATGAATTTTGTAGATCTTAATAATATCTATAAAAAAGATTTATATGAAAAAAGTCGTATCTCCGATACATTGCGAAAGAACACTCATTATATAAAAAATTGCCATTGGAAACCATTTAATAGAGACTATCTATTCTCAAGCAAAAATCTCGAAATCTAACGAAGATACAAAAATTTTCCAAAAAATCTCTTTTGTAGATTGTGATGTGATCTACAAAAAATGTTCATAGCAAAATGTCGTATCTCCAGTAGATTGCGAGATTCAATTTTTTGAACAATTTTCGGAGTTAATCACCGCTCAGTCGATTCTCAAAGACTCGTTCCCCGTCGATTATCAATCGCATGTCAATCGCGAATTCCTCAGGTAGGGCCACAAATTCCATGCAGGTTGTCTTGGTGAAGTTGAAGACGGCAAGGTCAATCCCAGCGCAACAGCCACAGGTGAGATCCTGACAGGAACAGGGTAATCCCCTGGATACAAATCTAACAGAATTCGTTGGAAATCTAGAACTCTCGAGTTCTGCCATCAGTGGAGATTTCGACTGGACGTCGTAGTAAATCGATTGTCTAGTCATAACATCTGAGGAAAAATATCTCAAACAATAAAATAATATAACTCTATGAATTCCTAATACATAATAAATCATAACAATTTGTGACCTCCAAAAATCTGCATTCCAAATTCCGTCAAGAACTTAAATCTTAAATCTTATCTTTATTTCAATTCAATTTAATTAATCCAAACGTATAAACTAAAAATAAATGCACTATTAATTATAAAAATAAACAAAACAATCCCCGTTACTCAATAAAAATGAGGGAATTAATTTCTGCAAAATGATTTTCTTTGGTGGAACGCATTTTTTTTCCATTTGAAAATTAACGTAAAATTCACGATTTTAATTTCTCTAGATTTTTCTCACCGAGTCCGTTGTTTATTGAATTATCAGCGTAAATAGCAATAAATTGCGCGCCGAGAATTGAAAGCCACAGGAACATTTTAACGAGAACTTCTTCTTGCACTGCCAAAACGCACAATGATAGGAACGCACCATCCGCTGCGATTATTCCCGCATTCTCCAGTGAAAGTCGCAAAATATTTTTTAATTCTGCATCTCCTGGTGACCCACATGTACTCGATACCGTTATCCCCATCAATTCGATGAATAATAATAAATAATTATTAATAGTGAGGATGTTATTGCAGGATGAAAGTTAATGGGATTCGAATGAACACTCGTTTCGCAGGAGAAATATCGGCTTTATTCAAATAATTCACGTATTTTTTAGAATTTATTATGGCTTAAGGGGACGACCCCGAGGAAATTAGCCTACGGTGAAGAGGTAGACAGAGAAAGAATAAATAAATAAATAAATAAACTGGTTGTTGCAGCGGATTTTGATGGTGTACGTCTGGGGTTTTTTGTTATTAAACTAAAATTAAAATGAAAAGTCAATTTTCTGGGAATTAAAATCTCCCAAAATCGCAGGTTTCCAAAAGTTTTCCAGAAATTTCACCCAAAACCCCTGACGTACCCCCACTCCCCCAGAGAGAAAAATTTCGATAAGAATTCTTGCAATTAAAAATGAAATTGGTTGTTATTTTCAATTGATCATAATCTAAAAGTGAATTTTTAGAGAAATCTTCATTAAATACTCTAATTCCTTGACTTAAATATTCAAAAAAACGAATAAATCTCTCAAATCTCTATTTTTTATAAATTATTACTCCAGTCATTAAAAATCTCAATGAATTTCACTTACAATTCGAAATATTTTACATAAATTTTCTATCGAACTTTTTCCTCTCTATGTAAAAACACAAAAATTCCCTACAGTCTCATAACTTTGCTCTGTCGTCCAGTCCACTGCCTCCTGGAGGATCGTCTCCTAGCGAGGAGTTCCTCGAGTCCCATTCCGTAATCGGCGTCATCATCCTCAGGATTGGATGTCTCATTATCGCTGATCTTGTGATGCTTGTCTTTGTTGTCATCAGCTACAAGAGCAGAAAGTACAGCGTCCTCTTCCTCGTCGCTATCATCCTCGACCTCACCCTCGTCCTCAGTCTCATCATCCTCCGTGTTCTCGAGTTCGTCATCCTCTTCAGAGTTGCTGGCAAGGATGTAGTCCTCCTCCTCCTCTTCAGAGTTGGGATCAGGTTTACCCAGAGGTTTCACCACAGGCTTCGAGTCAATTTTAATAGCATTAGGACTATTTGACGTGAGACTCGGCTTCTTCACAGTCTTGATCCCCACGATCTTCTTAACTCCTGAAGTCTTCGTCACGGTGGGAGCAGTAGAAACGACCTGAGGGGTGACGTCCTCCAAGATCTCAATATCCTCTGGCTCCTCTTCTGGTTTTTCCTCGGGTCTCTCGTCCGGGGTCGACGTGGACTCCTCCAGGGGCTCCTCCGTGGGATCCTCCAGGTCCTCATCAGCCGTCGACTCCTCCCCAGGTTCAGTCGGGTCGACCTTCACCGACAGCTCAGTCGTCCCAACAGTTTCAGAAACAGAAGTCAACACCTCCGGTAGTTTCGTCGGATTTTTTGTCTCCAGGGGAATATCTCCAGTCTCCGGTTTCTGCTTCACCGGCTTCATCTGGGGAGGAGGTGGTGAAGTTGACGTGGGTTTCGTTATGAGTGGAATGGTGAAGGGTACGAGTGGAGCAGCCGTCGTCACTTTCTTTTTATCGCTGTCGTCATCCCCCGTGAAGATGTCGATGAGTTCACCGAATCCCAGGACGTCCTCGTCATCGTCGTCATCATCGTCGTCATCGTCGGAGGACTGCTGGCCCTCTGGACCCTTAGCCGGTGGATTCTCGTCGCTGTCGTCCTCAAGACCGAAGATATCGTAGTCGTCGTCATCATCGTCGTCAACGGGCACTGGTGTCTCGATCGTGGGAAGACTCTCTGCTGGACGCAGCTGAAGTCCCTCTGGGCCGAACCTGAAACAACTCACTCGGAGACTCGCCTCCAAGTCCGAGCCTGACTGAAGTTCTAGCCCGAGACAGGCCTTGAAGTGATTGTCAGCTTCACGCTCGATTGAATAGATTCGGCTGCAGAACTTCGTCAGGCCACCTGGCATTGGAACGCAGATCGCCTGTGGCTTTTTCCCTGGAAACATTTAAAGTCTTGACTAAAGTCTCAAATATTTAATAAAATTCGGGTTCAGGGGAAGATGCGGGTGCAGGTGCAGATGAATGCAGAGTTCTGATGAACTTCAATTTAAATCAAGACAAGAATTTAAATCGAAAAAGAAGTCTCAATTAAGACTTCAAAAAGATTTTAATTATTTAATATTCGTTGATGTACCGCTGATTATTCTGCTCATGAGGATGTTCCCACCGTAGCTCAATTGAACAGCCAAATTATTCTCCTTCAAGTACTGAAGGGAGACACATCCTGGTCCTCGCAGTCTCACCAGTGGAATGTGAAATTTTCGACAGCAATTGCAAATATTCTCGTTGCAGGTGCAGTACCTGTTGACATTCTCTGTCGCTTGTTTGAGGGACATAAAAGAAACATCGAAATTTTGTTTAGTGGCTCGTGCCACTCGCTGCAACGGCTCATCAGGATCTGGAATAATCATAATTGACAATATTTCTCAATAGTCATTAATATTTATGGGGCTAATTATTCTAATTACCGATGACTCGTCCGTACGCAGCAAAAGCTATCAGCAGGAATATCAATAGCAACTCGAACACCGTTGACAGTCGCATTGTTTACGGTTCCTCAGTCCTCTATTCTCTTCTGGAAAAGTCGTTATAATATTATGACTCGATTTCGAAATATGTTGTTCATATCGGTAAGGGGAATTTACTGGAGTTCCACCGGTTCTGAATGCGAATGGAAATCTTAAAAAAAGGGAGAGGAAACCGATTTTCACAGTCACTTCTCCTCAGTCTTCAGTGAAATTCAAAAAAAATTTTCACCGGAGACTTTCGAAAGCCTGATTTAGAAGGAAATCTAATTCGAATCGGAAGTGCTACATTCTAAAGTCTTGAGTAGCGACTTTAGTCTTCAAGTAAAAAATCTTGAACAATTCCTGGAGTTCTCGGAGCACGAGGAATGAAGACCAAATGTAAATAATCCTTAATTCTTTTACAATTGTTATTTAAATCCTTCAAGTGTGAACTCAAACCTTTCGATGGGACTTGAAAATGATTAAAGTCCCAAGTCATGACAAAGTCTCTTGGAACTTCAAAAATTCTCACATCAAGTCTCGCTAGTATCGATTCCGAATTTTCAACAGTCACATTAAAAGTTTAAAGTCTCAACTTGCGGGACTTGAGCAAGTCTCAAATTTTTAGATGCTTAATAAAAAGGACTTGAGATCTCAACAGGTCCTAAGACTCGAGTTTCACCATTTGAAATCGAGAAATCAGAAACCAGAATGACGAATGCGGAAGTCGATTTCGATCGAGATTTCGACAGCCCTTTCTCGTTAGTCATCGGTCAAATTTTCGAAAAAAAAAAATACTCGACAGTTCTTTGACACTAGACGAGTGAGGGGCTGTCGACCGGTGGCCTACATCACGGTCAATGCCGGTCCAGTCTAGTGCGTGTTGGACTGCATGACTTGTCAAGCCTGTCTGTCAATTGGGACTTGAGAATTTCTCGGAATCGACAATCAGTCTTGCATACTATCACGATTTACACTCAATCAATCGCTATGCTGATGTCCCAAAAATCTGTTCATAAATCGATTGCCATCATTTATTTTCGCGGGAAATTCAAGAAAAACCGCCGGAAAATTGAATGACAATCGACGGGAGTTTAAATAAATAATAATACAACATTAAAATTCATTTTCTCACTCGAGTAAAAATTCGGAAACCAATAATTTTCTCTTCTTACATAGAATCCACAATAAATTCCACGAAAAAACACCGGAAACGAGGAAAAATCAGCGGAAAATTTGACGAAAGAGTAAATATGAAAATTCATAATTTTCTCAATTTTTGAATTTTTCACTCAAGTAAAAACCCGAAAGCCAATAATTTCCTTCCTATCAGATAATTAGTAATAAATGAATAAAAACCCAGTGGAATAATAAACAGAAAAACCGCGGAAAATTTTCAAAAATAACGGTATAACGCGTAAATTCCGAAATGCCTGAAACTCACTTGAAAAAAAATCCGGTCGAATGACGTAAACCACTAGATAAAAAATAATAACACCGTTGAACTTCTCCAACTCTGAATCTTGCGAAGGCCAATGTTAAACTGAAGATTCCAGTGGATGTTCCCCACCTCTGAAGGAGTTGAAAAGTCGGTCAGTACTACCTCCACCCGACACTCAAGGAACTCAGTATTTGGTCTTGTAATATTCTAATAATGTCCCCCGAATAACCATCAGAATAATAAATATCCTTCAATTTTCATATTCCGTTAATTACCCCAAGCGGTATTAAACCCGTCACCAATCCCTGGTGATTCTTCCAATCCTGGGAACAAAGACCATCACGAAAACCAATTTAAAATCAAATTGCCGGGGAAAGGTGGGTAATTTGAGATTTTAAATAGATATAGAACCGAAACTAAGAACTCAGTGGGGACCAGTGCTACTGAAGTTCCCCTTTCTCTGGTCAGTGGGTCGAAGAAAGTTGATGCCCGAAGCTGTTCACCTTGACTCGTACAATGAAAATCCTCGGTCACGCCGCAGCAATTCTATTTTAAAATGCCTTCCAGGCACCATTTATTTTTCATTTGAAAAAAATTATCAAAATCTCCATCCATTCTCCACCCAACGCCCCAATTCTGTTATTCTCTATTGTTGCTAATTGTTAATTGTTGTTCTCTGAGTTAATGCCCCCCAAACTGACTGATCAATATAAATAGTCATAATTTCCTTCCGGGAAATTAAAAAAATCGGTGAAACCTCCGAAGATTGGGATTTATTTTCTCGAACACATCACTCGATTAAAAATCCTCTAGTCACGGAAAATCCGCAGGAAATTAATGAAAAATCGCGGGAAAACAGGAAAAATCAGCGGAAAATCCGGCGAAATAATAGAATGCTATTCCATTTATTCTCCATTTTTTAAATTATCATTAAAATCTTTAACGTATTCTACACTCAACGCGAAAATCCAGTGAATCTCATGCAAATCAATTTCATTACACAATTTATTATAACAAATTCAAATGCATAAGTAATAAACAGCTTTCAACTTATCCGATCTGCATCAATGATAAGATTATTAAAAATATAATTATTAAAAATTAAAAAATAAGATGGAGACCAGATTAAGGAAAGATGAGATAAAGAGAAATTATTTAGAACGATTATTTAGTTTTTGTTCGTTGACAAATAAATGAGTACGAATTATGAGGAAAAATAAGGAAAAGTGGTGGAAAGAGATGGAGTTGAATGCCTGTATGAAATATATTTGATATCGGTTCTCGATAAATCGACGAGGAAGATGCGAGGGCGATATTGAATAGAACGATTGAGAGGTGTTATTCCTACATGAACGTGTTACTAAGTATAGTAAAGTAAAGGGGTGACCGGGTAACCCAGATGAAGTTCCTTGGCCCCCAGCACCAGGAGTGCCTGTCCAATGACGTGATAAAGGTCCCCACCAGTGGTTTTGAGGACTCTTGGACCAATGGGGATGGGATATCCACTGGGAATAAGGAACTGACGAGACCAAGAACTTTGAAAACTTGAGGTTTAGCGCAAACCTCAAGAGTGAAACGTGTGTCTGACGAGTTCTTCGTGTCTTCGCTGGGGCATCAGCACAAAGTGATTCCAGTCTATTCTCTATTCTGCATGGAACGATAAAGCCACCGGGGATTTTTCATTTTTTTTTTCTCTGGCATTACATTCAATCATTTATATTTATTTTTCATTAATTTCGGGCAGGCAAATTTGGTCATTATCAAAATGACTATTAAACTCTGGATCATCCTCTCCTGTGCGGTCGTTGCTGTCTCCTCTGCTGGCATTCTCGGTGAGTTCAGTTAATTATTGTTTGTTTTTGTAATTGATTACGGGATTTTTTCGAATGCCATGTGATTTTTTATTGGAATTTATTGATCATTTATATTTATTCATCTTGTGGTGGATTTTTAATCTGGATTTTTTTCTTTTGCGTGGGCGGAGGCTATTTATCCGATTTTTTTTTTTTTTTTCATTTTTAGAGACCCTTTTGTCCTGGGACGTGCGGGATAGTGAGGCAAGATCCTCGACACCTCAGTCCAAGTGCTTGTGTCAGACGTCGGGATGCCTCTGCTGTGTCGACCTCAATCTGACGTCAACAATAGACCTGGGGGGACCAGCCTGTGTCAATATCAAACAGAAGGAGGATAATGTGTCACTGCACATGAGTTATGGGGACAATCCTGTTCACAATGCAACCATCAGGATCGGTCAATATTATAATTATTTTTCATCCATTCAATTCCGATATTTATTCAAAAACTACTCTGAAAGAAAATCCCCAGGTTTTCCATCAAATTTTCTACTATTTCAGGAAATTTCGACAAATCTCTAGCAACTGGAGTTTTAGAGAAAAATATGACGTTTTAAAAAATATATTTCCCTCAATCTCTTTTATCTCTTATTATTTATTTTATTCTGATTATAATTCTGTTTTCGTTATTTAATTTAAATGATTTGAGGGGAACTGTAGTTTAATTACTATTCGGCGTAATTATGTATTCGTTGATTGGCTTTTGGTTTAAATTTGGTAATTTAATTGTAGAAATGGAGGGATTTGTTTGAACACTTATTTTCATCGATTTGGATAATTGTTTGATAACGTCTGATGATTTACAGCGGATGCAGCGAACAAACCGACGTGCATGAATCTTCTGTCGGATTTGGCTCAGCTCTGTGCAAAATTCACGACAATGAAACGTCAGGATTCAGGACATGACGGATGTCTCGTCGTCGAGCCTGCCCTTATGAGGACACCCCAGGCCACTTATCACATGGGATGTTTCAATTTTAATCAAGGAGTCCGCCAGATTCAGTCCTCCATAATGTAATTTTTCATTTAATTTATTCAATGTAATTAATTATAATGTAATTATAAGACTCATCACAAATTTTTCCAATCCAACGAACCATCTGAAAACTATTCCCTACGTTTTCCATTTTATTCCGACGAAATATCGAATTTGATTTCGAATTCTTTCATTTTCTTAAAAAATTATTATACGAGAATTCTCCAGAGGAATTCCAACAGGCGACTAATTTCTTGGATTTATTAATTTAGTAGATTACTAAATGGAATGAAAAAAATATTTCCAGTGAGACAACACCTGCGACTACCCAAGAGGAAGAGGAAGAAGAGGGCTTGAACACAGAGGAGCTGCTGGCAGCGGTGTCTTCAACAGCTGAACAGGGAATAGCCCTTTTTTCAAAATGGTTGGGAATAAGCCTGAACCCGAAGCTGAACCTGACGAGCCCCAAGGAGGAGTCCACAGAGGCCCCAGCTGTTCGCCAGGAGTCGAGATCAGGACGAAATCTCGATAATCACTCGACAACACCTGAGGAACGAAGTGAGGAGCGTTTTAAGCAGCTGCTGAGTGCTCAGGACAACATAATGAGGGAATCAGCGAGAATTGGACCGATAAACGACGGCCAAACGACATTCGTCTTTCCAAAATCCATGGAAAATCCTGAAAATACCAAGAGTCAAGCCCCATTTGTACCCAGGGAGTCCCGAAGAGGAGGACGAGCCTACAATATCCATCAACACGTCAATGAAATCTAATCAATCCTGTTTATTTATTATCTTTAATCACTATTTAACAAAATCACTTGTTTCATTATTTATCGGTCTTGGAAGCATCTCGTAATGAAATAAAGCACAAAAATTAAAGTCCTGATTGTTTACCAACTTTACAGTGATTTTTTGGGTTTCTATGCTTGATTATATACATGTTATATAAATTTTATCTGATGTATAGAGCAATAAAAAACATTTTAACGTAGAAAAATTGCTTGTAGGCAAATTCGTACGCTTATATCGTTAGACATTGGTATTTTTTAATGTAATTAATTTTATATTAATTATTATAATAAAAATGGTGTATAGATACGTCTGTATTTATTCAACATAATTTTTTATTCGAAATCTTGCCAATTCTCGGTGATTCAGGAGTTGAGATTGTACTGGAATGAGTTTTTTTCCAATTAATATTCTCTTAAGTATCAATTTTCTATTTTTTTTTCTTCATTTAGATTTTGCGATTTAAGATTAAACAAAGTACAAAAAGTTGGAAAAATTTGGGTTTAATAATTTTAATATAAAAAGCTTAAGAGAGACAAATCGAAAAATTGATATCAAATAGAAATTTCTACAAGCAATTGACGGAATTCTTTTAAAACTCGTTTTTTGCATTCAATTTTTGCGCACATGATGTAATTAAAATTCAACATTACGTCGTAATTCCCAATTCGATTTTTATTATTGTCTTCCTGGGTTGGCAGACAGGTGCACCTGGTTTAGTTACTTTTATGAATTATTAATAAAAAAATTATTGTGTTTTTCAATTATTTTGGAAGACGTTTTCTTAATGAAAGTATTGACTGCATACTTTTTTTGTCTGTTATCTGGTTTCAGGGGGTAATCACTGAAAAAACATTGTACAGAAAATTATCCAATTTTCTGGAATGTAATTTGAATCCATCTTGGAATGTTTCGATAAATTTACGAGTGTTTTCAATTGCAATTCCATTGAATTTCGAGTTGCACTCTGAGAATTCTCTTGGCCGCCAGTAAAAACTGACATTTCGATTTTCGCTTTTTTATTTGTTTCCCATAATAAAATACAGGGAAACTACACATTTTAATAAAAAACCTAAACAAAAATAGAAAAATCTTGAGATAGGCTTTTTACAGAATTCCAACAGAAATTCAATAGAATTCCCATTAATCTAGTAGATTGCCGATTAAATATAAATATAAATAAATAATTAACTGGAAAAATTGCGTGAGTGATTACCCCACATTGCATGGATATTATTCTGAAAATAAATTGTAGGTAAAGGTGGGGCAAAATGGACGACCCGGAATTGATTCTCTGGACTATTTCGAATTCGTGAATAATTCGAAGTCGAATTAAAAATATTATTTCTGTTCGTTAATATTCCCTGTGGCTTTTAGAGTATAAAAAATTGAGTATCCATGTTGCCCCTGGACTCCGCGTATTTCTCCTCCACTCTCATCATAAAAAATAGAAATGGTGACTGCTCGATTCAGCCTCTGACTGAAAAAATCTCAACTTTGTTCGATCATGTCCATCTAAATAATTTTGAATCAACAATTCGACTAGACTACAAATAAATCCCTAGAATCGACACACAACACCTCATTAAAAATATCGCTCTGTTATTTTGATTTTCATCTTTGGGAAGTTGGCTAGAGATTAATAATCAGTTATTTGGATTTTCGAATCTACCCAATAACTCTAAACCGATGAATCAGTGGAATCTACAATCCTCTCAAGATTTCATAATTAGCTCCTAATTCCAATGAAATTTAACACCTGAAAACGCAAAATTGTACGAAAATATAAATAGGCACTGCAAATTTACGTTCGATTTTCAAAATTGAAAGTTCAAAATCTTCGTTAAAAAATCAATAGAAACCATAGACTTCAGTACAATAATTCCCCATGTAATCAAGAAAGCCTCGAATTTCTGGTCAATTCAAAATAGCGTATAAAATTCAATGAAAGCTTCAAATTTCACTTAAATACTTCAAAAGTTCTCTAAAAACACGTAAGAATCCTACAAATTCCCGTAAATAAACTCTTGAACGTTCAATCAATTAATAGAGCAATAAAACTCGAGAAAATTCTGCGATTCTCCGGTCGCTGATCCCGAGAATTGCGTAATTCATTTGAATTTACCCCGAAGAAACTCCGAATTCCATCCTAAAAAAGAGGAATTCCTCTCTAACTGATGAAATATCAATTTTTTTCCAACATCGTGCGGTTCTTGATGACCTCCTTCTTCCGCTTGGGAACTCGCCTTCCAACATGTAGCACGACATCCCCAGTCTTGATAGCCTTGAACTCAGCAATAGCCTGTGCATGTGTCATGCCATGAAGTGGTTTTGAATTGATGGACAGTATTTCATCGCCCTCCTTAAGGGTTCCCAAATCAGCAGCTTGTCCATTAGGAAATACAGTCTTAACATAAATTCCCATATTGCCCTTAGGGCTATCAGTGCCACCAACGATGCTGAACCCAAGACCCTTATACCCAGGTCCCTTGAAGAACCTCGTGGTCATAATCGTGAAAGAAGCATTGCCCTTTCCAGGTCTCGGTAAAGTACAGAATTGCGACTCCTCTCCCTCGAGATTCTCCTGGATGTCCTCGAGTTCAGAATCAGTATTAAGTCCCTCGTCAGCCTCATGAGGCCCCTGCAGCTCCTGCCCCCTCCTCGTTGCCGATATATTAGCGAAGCTTCGACTGCTGAACCTCAACGAGGATTTGGCTTCAGCTCCCAGAGAAGAGGAGCCATCAGTCACGTCACTCAGCCTCGAGTTATCATTGTAATTCGTCACTTTCCCTCCAAGAATAAACTCTCGTCTCTTGGGACTCACCCTGGGAATGTATATCTCCTCCTGGGAATTTCCCTGTCTCCTTTCTCTTCCTTCTCTCCCCCTCGAACCTGATTTACTCCTGAACCTGACGTTCTCGTAATGGCTCTCCAGCTTCGAGGGGCTGTCTGTGTCAGACAGGCCTGATCTGGTGCTCCTGAATCTGACGTTTTCGTAGGAATGGTCTCGGTGCTCTGAGTTGCATCTCCTCAGGGGCTCTCTGTAGCTCGTGCTCTCGTAGACGTCGGAGGTGTTCAGGGAGAGGGACAGGGGCTCACCATCCTCCAGGGGATCGATCCTCTCTGTTGTCGAGGGAGCCAGCGGACTGGGAACGTAGAAATTCGAGACGTTCTCCTTCGGGAAGACCTCTGCTACACTCAGGGCTTTTCGCTTTCGAATACCCGCGTTCAGTTTACTGAATTTACTCCGGAGGACGCTCTGCAGGTCTGCGATTCCTTTGCTCGTACCTACAACAACCAATCCAGGCATTTGTTATTAATTTAAAAAATCAATTGACAATTAATTAATGAAATTACATTTACAGCAATTTTTCTTCTGATTATTCTGGATTTTTTTTTACTGTTTAAAAAATTAATTCAATCAATCAAATTTTCAGCTTGAGTTTTCTCAATCAAATATTCAATACAAATTTTATGAAAATTATTGTAATCCAAAATGGCGAATAAGTTGAATTAAAATGATTTGTGGATGAGTTTTTGTGTAAGAGAACGATAAAATCCCATTTAACCACTTGGACACTGGAATATCGAAGGTAGATATTTCTTTTCCATGAAACAATGCCGATGCTGTCACCACGGTGGATTTTTTATCGCCAGGAAGTCTGTGATTACACACCTGGCAATCTTAAGGACGACGTTTGAAGCAACTTTTTTGTTGAACTTCTGTCACGTGATTTGGGTGCTGGTGATGCTTCTCTACTCGTTGGAGTAGATCGCACACCATGAATAACGGTACGTTGACGTCCCTCTTGTATCAGAGGATCTTCCTGGGGCTCGGTGATTTCCTGGACCGAATACCTCCGACGCAATTTCCTCCATCGCTGACTGATACTCTTGTTCCAAACATTCAGATCTGAAGGTAACAATTCATAATCAAGTGATTTAATAAATTACTTCATTTCAATTAATCAATGCATAACATTAATTAAATGTGTAAAATTAATTTTCTGGTGAGAATAATTATTCCATTCATTTTTTATTTAGTAAAGTAATTCATTCCTCCAATTCCTAAATTTTTAAAAATCAAAATGAATGAATGATGAAAACAAAACAATTGTTTCTCTGTAAATTTTTGAAGTATTGACATTTTTAAATAATCAAAAAATTCCAGAATAAACTCTACAATTTAATTATTTCGTTATTTATTTCCGAAATACATGAATTAAGGGAATTATTAATTCATGGAATTGTTCCATTTCCCATCGATCTCAACCCTTCAAAAGTCATCGAAATATTCAATAGTCGATAAAAAAAACTATACAATTAATTATAGCGTCCATGTTTCCAAATGTAGAAGTAACTTGTAGTTTCCGTCTCCCCTGAATCATAAATAAGTAATGAAGAAAGGAAACTTGTGGAATGAGAGGGTCAATGAATTGAATTAATAAATTATGCTGACGGCATTGCTAGACACTGAGTTAAAAACCTAGACCCGTAACACCAAAAACTGACGATTCAAAAAACGCCAAAATACTGGCAAATAATTGTATAAAAAACCGGACAAACATTGAGGCATGGTGAGCCACTCATAACAATTAACTATTATCCATTATTTCGTGGGCCCAGTCTAATTACAACACCCGGGGATTAAAATTCCCCGTGGGAAATTCACAGCACAAACTTGGAGAACTTGTAAGTCCTGGGTTCCACAACCATCTGCAACTCCAGGCGAAATAGTTGAAAGTAAAAGTAGAAGAATCCAACGATAAACGCGAGCATTATCTCCTGAGAGATAAAACGGTTATCCACTGGGATTTATTGAGTTATCGGTTAAAAGGGAAAAGGGAGCGAGGCAATAGGGAAAAAAAAAGGGGAAAAAAAATGGGAAAAGACGTCGATACGTTGTGACGTCGCGTCGAGGACTGAAAAGACTGAAAAGACTGGCAGAGAGAATTGTTTGGAGTGGTGGAGGTCTCTCTGTCTTGGACGTTTTAACACTGACCCGTCTATGTATGTATTTCTATGTATTTAACATGTACATTATGTATGGTGGCCCTTGTGTTTATGCTGGCACGATGCACGTGCGACTGAACTGTGAGTAATGCCAGGGGTATGCTCTATTGTTATAACTATTTAGACATTCTCCCTTCAACCACACCTTTGTACCATCAACACCAAACAACCCGTTTCCACTAAATCTATCACCAATATGCTAATTTCCTTTTTTTCCCTCATTTTAATCTTTTAAACTATTCGTTTTTTAGGAAAAAACGTTAATTGGATTGTTTTTATGGCTTTTTTTTTATTTTTGAGGATTTTTGAGGTTTATTTATTAAAATAATCAACTCGTTTGCTGAGAAAAATAATAATAAATGCGATTTTACCATTTTCATTGCATGAGAAATTTTTTAATTGGATTGAGATCTTTTTTGAGAATTTTTTTGATTTGTTGGAAAAACGCAAGTTCACTAGAGTGCATGGTTATTTAATTAATTT